TGGGGAGATTTACTATCATCCCCCAGCACGCTGCTTCTTGGACGCAGAGGATCCAGAAAGAGATGAGTCACGGAGCTGCAAGATCTGCGTGTGGCTGACACGGAGCTCCCGGGGAACGAAGGCTCCGCTGGAGGACGGGCACTACTCACCAGGGGGATGAGTCCTTAAGGGGAAAACCCGGGAGAAGTGGGAAGAGGTATCGATCACGGTCCTTAAGCAGCCTTTGGGAATAATAAAGCAACTGGGAAAAGGTTAGGGATAGGAAGCTGAGGGTGCCAGCAGCACGGGAAGGGGCCTGGGAGTCAGCGCGGAGCAGTAAAAGAGCCGCGATGGCGCCGAGGGAGCCCGGCCAAGGGAAGAGTTACACAAGGGCTGCTTGGGGCATGAGTAATGCTCTGTTTGTGCCCGACCCAAAGGCAGGGCGCTGTACCCTGCATACCTGCGCCGGGCAACGCGCACAGAACAAACACTCGGGTGCTTACTAACGCCCTCCTTTCTTCTCAATGCGTGGATCCACCCCAGCTACGATGGAGGTGCAACTAGAGAGCTGGATGGAGAGGCTGATAGAAAATTTTCCATAGAACTGCTGTCAATAGTTTATTATCAGAAGGGCAGTTTGCATCAAGGGAGCTCCAAAGCAACCAACACTCGCCCCGGTGCTACTCAGCTCTTCCGGTGATGACTTGTATGATGGGACAGAGGATATTTTTAAGAAGATGACATCGAACTGGGGTGACTGAAGCATGTTGAGAGGACAGAATTAGAATACAAGTGAAAGGGCCTACCTTCCTCTTCTCTGTGACTCAGTAGAGCCCAGTGCCTAAAAACACTGGATGGAGAAATCAAAAAGACCTGGGATGATGAAGAGAACACAAGTCACGCTTGAATTTAAAAACAGTATCATAATATTCATGAGGTATTAGCAAAAATCTTTGAAGGTAAGACTGATTACACCTCCCTCCTATAGCACTGTGATCTGTTTGGATTCTGCATTTCAGTAGAAACTTGGAACAACTGGAAAAACTTCAGAGGAAATCAGGAAGAACTGTAACAGGTCTGGAAGACATGGAAAGAATAAATGGAAGTGCTGTAAAATGGAAGAGAGCGATTATCTTTCCTCTCATATATGAGAAAAAAAAAAGGATTGAATTGGATCAAGGAAGATTTATGAAAATCTTCAAAGTATAAAAAGCCCTGCTATATCAAGATTAGTTCAGGCAGTTTTGGAGTATTTCTACTGGAAAATCAAGAAAGTGCTGAGCTGCGAGGTCACGTATTTGTAAGTGCTTGGGCAAACAGCACGTGGTGAGGCTTCCAGCCTGGGTGGTGTGGGAAGGACACGAGTGAGGGACAGATGAGCTTATTCTGGGAGGGTTTTCTATCCCAGGCTTTCAATTTGAGAGCCCATTGTAGTTACTGTAGGAATTCCCATTGGCTCCAGGTAGGCCCTAAAAGAATAAGCCAGCCTGCTGCAGTGGTGCAGGTTCGCTTGTTGCTTGCTCCTCCAAGCTCAAATAAAAGCAACCTCCAAGTAGAGGGTTCACTAAGACACTGACGAAAAAATTGCCAAGGAAACACGCCATATTCATAGAGAAATATATTAAGTAACTGCCAGCACCAGAATGTACCGGGACGTGATGCTGTACAATATTTACAGTGCTGTGTTTTCTCTTGATACAGAATTATATTTAGCTCAGAAACACTGCTATGTTGTTTCAGGGCATATGATAAAACACCATCCATGGTTTTTTTTTTTTCCTCTTTGCATTCCTGGCACGCATAAAAAGATGAGCTTGCAATTCTCAGTGCTGAAGACAGGTGGGAGAAAGATTTCCTCTAAAGATAGTGAATACCAGTACGCTCTTTTCCTAGCTGGTAATGTATTTTGAGGACTGCAGTTTTACACTCTATCTCTCACAGAAAGAGCCTGTGAAACTTCAGAGGCTCCGGTGTAATCCTGAAAAGGTGGGAGACTTGTTACTATTGGAAAGCCATTAGGACTGAGGACTGCAGCTGAGGTGGCACCTCGTGTCTGTGCTACCCATGAGCTGATCAACCAACCTGCCTTAAAAAAGATCCCAAGAGCTACCACGGTGAGCAATTCTCCTTTTATACATTTAAACTCTCATTAGCAGCTTGAGAACTTTAGAGGATGAAGAAGAAAAGAGGTCTAGGCATCATCCAGTTAATCCCAGCTCCTGGCACAAAATAAACAACTTCCGCAGCTGCATCAAGACAAATAGAGGTGAATTAAGCTGAATGTCAAGCACCCGACTCCTTCTCCAGAAAGCTACTGGCACTTGGTCAGGTACCCTGAAGCATCCTAAGCACAGGCTGCCAGCAGGAAGGACTGCATCCTGATGGTTAACAGCAGGAAGAACTCTGAAACAGCACTTCACAGAAAGCCTAGTCATGAGCAGATGCTATAAATATCTGCTAAAAATGCATTTTTTCTTAATGTTTCACTGGCTTCGATTTACTATGATTCAGCTCCTGGTACTCAAAGCATGAAGATGAGTTGTCTTTTGTTTTCCAGTTATGACAATGATTGTTATGCTGCCAAGATCTCGGAGAGTTCTACCAAATCCCAGGTATTTATGGTGGCAAAACACAATTTTACACTACAGAACGCTGTCAATTCACTTAATATGTCTCAGCAACTTATTGCTGAAGTGACATAAATTTCTGGAGCTTTGACAAAATTAAAATATTTGTTTCCCTTAAGAAACAGTGATTGATATTGAATCCTTTTCCCTTTGAAGAGAACAGGTGCCGCATCAATCATATTTTCAATTTCCTGGATGCTGAGAGCAAACAATCTTCATTTGGCTCCTTGGGCCACGCAACGCCCTCCATTCTGTAACCTTGGCAGGACCATGCACCTTGGGGTGTGTTGCTGAGGCCAGGACAGACTGGAAACAGCCCACTTCATGCCAGACAGACAACGGCTTCTCTATAAACACCCAGGACCTTCTCAAGCTGCCAAACACAAGGTTATCCGTACCCCAACACTTTGTCTTGAGCAAAACATCGACGGTGGATTAAACATTTTCATGACCATGAAATCACATGGAGTGGGAAGGGACCTCTGGAGATCATCCAGTCCAACCCCCGGCCAGAGCAGGTCCACCCAGAGCAGGTCCCACAGGAACGTGTCCAGGCGGGGTTTGAATGTCTCCAGAGAAGGAGACTCCACCCCCTCCCTGGGCAGCCTCTCCCAGGGCTCTGCCACCCTCACAGCAAAGAAGTTCCTCCTCATCGTGAGGTGGAACTTATACTCAAGTTTGTGCCCATTTCCTCTTATCCTGTCCCTGGGCACCACTGAAAAAAGACTGGCCCCATCCTCTTGACACCCCCCCTGTCAGTATTTATAAGCATGGATCAGATCCCCCCTCCCCTTCTCTTCTCCAGCCTAAACAGGCCCAAGTCCCTCAGCCTCTCCTCATCAGAGAGATGCTCCAGGCCCCTCATCATCTTTGTAGCCTCTGCTGTCCCCTCTCCAGCAGTTCCCGGTCCTTCTGGAACTGGGGAGCCCAGAACTGGTCCCAGTGCTCCAGCTGGGGCCTCCCCAGGGCAGAGTAGAGGGGGAGGACGACCTCCCTCCACCTGCTGCTCACACTCTTCCTGATGCCCCCCAGGATGCCCTTGACCTTCTTGGCCACAAGGGCCCATTGCTGGCTCATAGGCATCCTGTTGTCCCCCAGGACTCCCAGGCCTTTCTCCTCAGAGCTGCTCTCCAGCAGGTCACCCCCAACCTGTCCTGGTGCAGGGGGTTATTTCTCCCCAGGTGCAGCACCCTACACTTGCCTTTATTGAAGTACATCAGGTTCCTCTCTGCCCAACTCTCCAGCCTGTCCAGGTCTCGCTGTATGGCAACACAGCCAAAGAAATGTATGTTTCTGTACCTGCCGTACACCACCACAAAGCTGCTCCACTCCTAGAATCATAGAATGATTTGGGTTGGAGGGACCTTAAAGATCATCTCATCCCAACCTCCCTACCCCGGGCAGGGACACCTCCCACCAGGCCCGGTTGCTCAAAGCCCCCTCTGGCCTGGCTTTAACCCCCACGGTGCCTCCTCAGACCTTCCCCCCAGCGAGGCCTGCCTTAAGGGGAGCCTCCCTCAGCTCTCCGGCTCCACCTTCCACCCGTGTGTGCCCCCCTCCGCGAAAACACTCGCGGCCTCCCCGACTTTGCTACTGCCCTCCCCACCCACCAGGAAGCCAAGGATTCCTCAATCCCTGCAGTTTTGGAGTTGGGTTTTTTGGGTTTGTGGTTTGTTTTGGTGGCTTTTTTTTCCCCCAAAAACCCCACATTTATTTGCCGGCTCTCCATTTCCTGGCCATTACCGGCAGGATAACGTACTGCGGGCCGGCAGGCGGGGCTCTCCCCATCCCGTCCCGGCCGAGATGGCGCAAGGCCCGGGCGCGGCCCAGCCGCCGCCACAGCCCCCGCCTCCGCCTCACCGACCGGAAGTGTCGCCTCAGGCGTCAGGCACCGCCCTCTTGCGTCACTGCCCCTCCCTTCCGGCGCCAGGCGCTTCCGCTCCCTTCCCCTCCCGTCGCCGCTTCCCCACCACCCCCCCCTTTTCGCCTCGCGCCCGGCCGCGCACCGCCCCCGTGCGGCCGGCGGCGCGCGCTGCACCCCGCTCGGCGGCGGCTCACGGGCCGGGATAGCCATGGGGCGAGCGGCGATGCCCTGAGCCCCGGCGGCAGCCGGACCGGGGCCAGCGCCGCGCACGGGCTTAGCGGGGCTTCTCCATGGGGGCTCGGCCGCAGTAGGAGCGGCGTCTCCCCGGGGCGCCATCCGCCACCTCCCCTCCCCCTCGGGCCTCCTGAGGAGGATGGCGGCGGCGGCGGCCACCCCGCCGACCCAGCTGGAAGCCGGTGGGTATCGCTGGGCGGCGGGGGCTGCCCCTCCGCCCCGCCGACCGCCCCCCCCTCCGACCCCGTTGTAACCCTGTCCCCTTCTCCCCTCGCCCCTCCGCAGAGCTCTACTACCTGATCGCCCGGTTCCTGCAGTCCGGACCCTGCAAGAAATCCGCCCAGGTGAGCGGGGGAGCCGGGGGCTGCGGCCGGGCCGGGGCGGGCGGGGACGGGACGGGACCGGGACCGGGGCCGGGAGCGGGCCGGGGC